ACACACACACACACACACACACACACACACACACACACACACACACACACACACACACACACACACACACACACACACACACACACACACACGCTCCCCGGGGAATTTACGCTGTTAAATGCGCGTTAAATCCCCCGCATATCCCCGTTAATTCCCCCACCCGTCCCGGGAGTCGGGGGGTGGGGGTGTCAATTTACTAGTGAATAAGTAGAGAAAAATAAAAGAAATCCATAGCACGAGAAATAAATACATGAGAAAATACATTGTACAGGATTAATACTTTTATCACGCAAACTGGTGTGCATACACGCGCAGTTCGCGCGCAGAGAGGATAGCATTGTTACGTCAAATATGACATCCTCGCGCCATCTATCGGTAGATATAATTTATATGCGCACATTGTGTGTTGTGTTTAACCATAAAACGCAGTATTAAATGTATTATAATACTCTAAAACGTATTTATCGTAGAGTGGAATTAATATAATTACAGTACCTATACAGAACAACATTTACTGGATAAGATTGGTAAAGATTTGGCCGTGAAAATTCCATCCTACACGCGATGTACGTATTTCAATAATGGCGTCGGGTCCACCTAGATACAATGTGCGCATATGAATATCAACGTCGCTGCTACATTATTGAAATACATACAAACAGAGTAGTATACACCTAAAACTCACCAAACGGTTAAGCGAGTATTTTCTAATCTTAAGTTCCCATTATTCTTCACAGGGTTCTTTTTTTGGCGGGGGGCAGCTGCCCGTCTTGCCCCCTGCTAGCTACGGCCCTGCACACACGCACGCACGCACGCACGCACGCACGCACGCACGCACACACAGACAAATCAAATAAAAGACTAAAACTGCATAACATAAACTAAACTAACTATATAACATACAATTTCTCTATAAATATTAAATATGCCGCGCACTCGCTATGTGGCGCTAGTGGTTCATATGCTCACTATTCTAAAAAAAATTCAAGCAAAACTGCGCACATGTTGCGAATATTTACATTATAAGGGTAACGAGGGCATGAGTTAGGGTTAGGGCTAGTTAGAGATAGGATTAAGGTTAGGCTTATGGTTAGTGTTAGGATCAGGGTTATACTATTTACATTATGAGGATAATAAGGGTAAGCGTTATAAGGGAGTGTAAAAAACCATAAACATGTTTGCAAACAAAGGAGGGGGGTTAGTGGTGGCATAATACGTAAACAGCATTTGTTATCGTTGCCCGACACTTATTGTTTTCCAGCAGTCTACTTGTGCTTTGCAGCCACAAAGGACGCTCCGGGAATGTGTTAGAAGTTACCTGCGAATAGATCTCCGACGGTTCTCGAAATCAGATGATCTGGTATAGCGTTGGTGCCGAGGGTACTGGAGAATTGGTCAATGAACTATGAATAACTAAATATGTGCATCAGTGCGTGTGCGCACGCGCGTGTGTTCGGTATACGTTCGTGTATATGCACGTTTTGCGTGCATTCGTATGTGCGTGTGCGTGCATGCATTCGTATGTGCGTGTGCGTGCATGCATTCGTATGTGCGTGTGCGTGCATGCGTGTGCGTGTGTGTGTGCGCGCGTGTGTGTGGGTGTGACTGCCAACGTACCATCTCTGCCGTGCATCAACCAGTGACGATGAGATGTTCAGCTCTTCATGGTAACAGTGAAATCTTACCTGCAGAAGAAAATGTACAGTAAACAAGCTCATATTTCGGTTTATGATTACACTGTTTAAAAACACTATGTGAAATTTCGCGCAATTCAAGTTAAGAATAATGCTGCACTTGTAGTAATCAGTAAGTGCCCATAAAATGATATCTATGTAGGCTGTATATACTGCAAAGCAACCGAAAATAGGTAAGGCGACGAATAACTACCAGTATACAGAGCAATATAGATATGATGATCGATGTGATAGATATTAGAACAATCTTGTGCTTCTTTTTAAAGGCCAGAAATAGGCGAATAGAGTGCGGAGTGAATAAAATTATGTCGTTTAATACCCGTGGAGTTGCCGTGTTATTTATACTTTGATGGCAAATCTCGTTTGATAAACGGTTAGTCGGAAAAAAACAATTCAAAACAAAGGTAACCCGGTAATTACTTGGAAGCCATGTACATAGATGCATGTACTACGCTATACTAAGCTATACTGAGATTCTAATCACGGTATAGTATCACTTGAGCGATACTCACCCCCAACAACCCCAACACATCACAACAGCGCACGTCGGATTACGATCACATTGCTGAAAAACACAACTGTAAGTAATCGTGTTTTCTTTCTTTTTCTAATTTCTTTAATTCTATATACTATTATACATGTAAAACATATTGAAAACAAGTATAATATTTCTTATATATATGCACCGCGGCGGCGCGAATTCGATTGTCAGTTTTCTTATATATATATATATGCACCGCGGCGGTGCGAATTAGATTTTCTGTTTTCTTATGTGCACCGCGGCGGTGCAAATAAGAACACGTTTTCTGTTATCCGCACCGCGGCGGTGCATGCGAATTCGATTTTCAGTTTTCTTATATATATATATATATACACCGCGGCGGTGCGAATTTGAGTTTCATTTATCTTGCATTCACCGTGGCGGTCACAACTCGAGTTTAATTTTTAATGTATTCGAAAATTCTTCCTCTTATATGCACCCTAGCATATACATCAAGTGTGTTCTATGTACCGCCAAAAATAAGCATTGTCCTATAGGAATAGCTAGTGCTATTGTAGCGATTTCTATGTTCTTACGTTCTACTGTGTCCGGCCACAATAGGAGGCTCGTTACAACCTCCGAACAAGATTCTACCAGGAGATGGCTGTCCTGTGCAGGTGTGCGGGGAAGTGTCTGAGAGCGTGTGAGGGAGCGAGAGAGAGAGAGAGAGAGAGAGAGAGAGAGAGAGAGAGAGAGAGAAAGAGAGAGAGAGAGAGATGAGAGAGAGAGAGAGAGAGAACTGAGGAGAGGGACGAGAAGACGAGAAGTCAACCTGCAACTCGGGTAGTTGTATCGTGACGTCGACGCTATCTCGCCTCGACCAGCGCCATAACGCCGAACCAGCTTATCAAACAAACGTCGAATTTACATATAAAAACTCTTCTTCCGTTCTATTGATTCACAGTAAAATAACTCATAATCAAACTTCTCCCCTGCTTGTGGGCTTGCAATCACAGTAAAAGATAAACTAAAGTGCTGTACATGAATTGCGGCCTGCACCGCGCACCCTTCGTCAGCAGTAGAAATGTGGCGACCATAGAGAACTAGAAAGAGCTTCTATTCTATTTATAGAGTGCGAACACAGATCCTTCCGTTCTCATATGATCAGGGGTGCACGCGAATAGAAGAGAGCGAACTAGCGTGGAACTGACTCAGCAGACCGATGCATCCAGGAAAACACCACGATCCGCGGCCCATTCCTAAGCGAAAAAATTTCTAATCGCC